ACAATGAATCATGGAACACTACATCAAAAACTAATGATGTAATGTATGGTGATTAACATAACAATAAAAAATTATTAAAAAAAAAATAGCACATGGTCCCCAGAGAGTGGGTACCTACTGTGTAACAGCCTTGGTCCTGTTGTGTGCGGATGAAGCATGAACCGCCAAACCCCACTCAAAATCCCGTTCCATTTACTATGAGGCCTTCAGTGTTCGTCCCCCTTTCTCTAGCAACAATGACATGTCCCTGTTTTCTGACTAGGAATTTCAGTCTTTGAACCTGACCCCTTTACTATTTTTTCACCCAGAAGCTTTAGAGAACTCTTACTAATTCAATATTAGGTATAGAGGGCTTAAGTGTAATAATTCTCCGGGGTGGATTCAGACCTCTCAGAGGCATGGAATCTGATGGGAAGCATGGGGCGGGGTGGGGGGGCGGGGAGCGGGAGGTGGAGGGGGCAGACAGGAATGGCCTCTGGCTGAGGTGTGGGTATCTAGGAACGAGGCTCCAGGCAGCCCAGTTTAGTGAATAAGCCTGCACTTAGTAGCCCGCCACTGGGCGAGCAGCGAAACTGCTTACCTCCGGTTGCCACCTTTCACCTGCAAGGTGTTAAACATTTCTTTGTCTACCCCAAGGTAATTAGTTGAAATGAGTCAACATTTGTGAAAGCCAGCACAGGTTAATCGCTTTATAAATGTTCGCTAAGTGAGATAGCTTTTCCCAGCATTGCCAAACAGAAACTCAACCTGTTGTAAATCCTTCCATAAAGAAAGAAAAAAAAAATTGTAATAGAAAGGTTCACTCCCCAGTTTTTCTCTTCACATTTAAAATTTTCTGTATTAGGCTTCCTGAAAGGAAGGCACATCTGTACTCTACTAGGAGACATACTTACATAGGATTTTTTAAAAATTTTACTGTTGAGATCTACCACTGATTTATTTTGTAGTCCTATTTTCTTTTTCTTTCTTTCTTTCTTTTTTCTTTTTTTTTCTGGTTTTTTTTTTTGTAAGATTTCATTTATTTATTTGACAGAGAGAGAGAGTACAAGCAATGGGAGCAGCAGAGGGAGAGGGAGAAGCAGACTCCCTGCTGAGCAGGGAGCCCATGCAGGGCTGGATCCCAGGACCTTAGCTGAAGGCAGATGCTTAAGGGACTGAGCCACCCAGGAGCCCCCCTGTAGTCCTATTTTCAATCACTTCATCTATAAAAGGAGTTTGACTTACTCTCCATCTCATTGGTTGGAAAAGATTTACAAAATGAATGCCTACCTTTAAAGACATTCTAGCCTTTATGAGATGATCCTGAGAGGGAATATGAGTGAAATTAAAAGATTAAAATTTGTGTTAAGCAGTAAGGAGAAAAATTTGTAAATATGTGACTAGGTTATGAATAATTGAGTCTGTATGGTTCTCCTCTCATTATAAATTGTTTTCTGGGATTTGATGGGAAACTGGCTCAAAAACCCAAAAATATTCTTTAAAATTTGAAAGATGTGTTGCTTTGTATTTTACTTGTACATGTAAAACAGGCTCATTTTATGAAGTTTATAGAATCAGAAGGGCATGAAGAGATTATTTTTTCTATAATCTCTCTTTTGTTTGTTCTACAGAACAAACTTTAAGAAAATCACTGAAAATTTGCTGTTTTTTTCAACAAACATAGTAGCTAACAAAGAAGAGTTTACAGGATTTTGAGTAAATATGAAACAGGCCACTTCCTTTATTTAGTTGCCACATACCATGAGCAAATTACTAAGCCAATGCACCACCCCAAGGCACAGCATGTTTATTTTGTGCAAATTGCAGGTGTTCTTCTAAGAGTTTTACAAATATTGACTCATTCAATCTTCCAAACAACCCTGTGAAGTAGATATGGAAATTTAAGGTTATCTTTATGGGGCTTTAAGTTTACAAATATAGAAACTAAGGTGAAGAGAGGTGAAGTAACTTTCCCAAAACCACAAGATGTTGAGCCTGAGACTCAAACTTAAAGAGAATGTCTTTTAACCATTATGCTATGATAAAGATGCTCTGTGATATATGGTTAAGAATTTCTAGAGAGGAGTGATTAAAAAAAAAAAAAAGCTGCTTTGTTTGGACACCTGAGTGGCTCAGTCGGTTAAGCATCAGACTCTAGATTTCTGCTCAGGTCATGATCTCAGGGTGGTGAGATCAAGCCCCATGTCAGGATCTGTGCAGTACCTGGAGCAGGCTTAAGATTCTTTCCTCCCTCTCCCTCTGCTCTTCCCCTGACCCATGCACTCACTCTCTCTCTATAAAAATAAAATTAATAATAATAATAAATAAAAATAAAAAATAAAAATAATAAAAATAAAAAAAATTTAAAAACTGTTTGTTATTCCCCTAGCTGAATTTTTCTAAAATTCAAACACAGCCAAACAATCTTATAGCTGCATAGTTGTAACTTGTTCATATAGCTTGTTATATTTTTCATATAGCTTGTGATATTCATATAGCTTGTTATATTTTCTTAAATTGTCCAATTCTGAGAAACTAGTCACTTGACCATGCAGAAATCTGACGAACATCCCCTTAACTAAAGGATGAAGGTTAATGGTGTTAAGTGGATATCATGTGCCTCCTGATATAATGTGATGAAAGGAGCACTTCAACTCTTTGGTATTTTCCCCAAAAGTTCATAACTCTAGGCTAACCATGAAAAAAACATCCTTCAAACCTAAATTGAGGAATATCAAATAGCTGACTAGAACTCTTCAAAAATGTCAGGGTCATGAAAAATAAGGAAAAATTCAGAAACAGTCATCGTTCAGAGGGAAGTATGAGAGGTGACAACAAACAGTGTGGTAACTTGAGATGGGTCTGGACCAGAAAGAGGACAGTGAGTGGAAAACCTCGTGAAGTCCAGGGGAGTCTGGAGTTTTCATTAATAAGAATGTGCCAATGTTGGTTTCTTCGCTTTGGCAAGGGTACCCTGTTAAGGTAAAGTGTTTGCAAAAGGGGAAACTGAGTGAAGAGTACAGGAAACTACTATTTTTACCAATTTTGTCAATTTAAAATTACTTCAAAATAAAAAGGTTGTTTTTTAAAGAGTTGCTCTTTCTAAATCCATTTAGAATACCACCCAAATGAAATCAGTGGGCATGCATGCTTTACTGCTAGCTTCCTAGAAAAAAAAATGAATTTTTGTTGAGTTCATATTTGCTCAGATATGAAAATCTGAACTATCCGCTGCTCCAGTTTGGACACTTCGTCATGTTTTATAGGCTTAAAGAGTTTGACTTCAGCACCAATCATGCTGTACAAATCTCTCGATTTCATGTAATTAAAGAAAAACAGGAAGCGTTTGCAGTAATGATCTCTAGACCCAACCCAAAACTGACGTAAATGAGGGTGTTCAGGGAGATCAGAACTCCAACTTATCTACAGAAGCTGCCAAAAAATGGGACCAAATGAAACACGTTAAGAAGCAGTTAACACTTGCAGATTGTGTAGAATTTGACTTCCCAGGAAGGACTTCACATCTCTTGTTTTTTGGAAATGAAGTAAAAAGGAAAGGTTTCTTGTTTGTTATTTTTTCTTTAATATGCCACTTAAATCCATGAAATCTTTCTCAACCAAAATGCAGAAATGTTTATAAGCACAGGACTGCTGTAGCCTACTACAATAAACAAGTTCAATCTCTTGTTTGAACATGTACCTCTCCAAGCTGATTACTTCTGCAAGAGTTAAACACCAAGTTTTTTTTGTTTGTTTTTGTTTTTTAAGATTTTATTTATTTATTTGAGAGAGCGAGAAAGAACTTAAGAGGGGAGAGGGTCTGGGGCGCCTGGGTGGCTCAGTCGCTAAGCATCTGCCTTCAGGTCAGGTCATGATCCCAGGGTCCTGGGATTGAGTTCCTCATCAGGGCTCCCTGCTCAATGGGGAGTCTGCCTATGCCCCTCTTTCTGCTCATGCTCTCTTTCAAATAAATAAAATCTTTAAAAAAAAAAAAAAAAGGGGGGAGAGGGTCAGAGGGAGAAGCAAACTCAACACTGAGCAGGGAGCCCCATGCGGGACTTGATCCCGGAACTCCGGGATCATGGCCTGAGCCAAAGGCAGTTGCCCAACCAACTGAACCACCCAAGCGCCCCTAAACACCAAGTTTTTATGCACATTCTTTAGGCCAGTAGAAGCAACAACTCCTAAGGAAATGGAAGAGCCTTAAAAGGGATGCTTTGGTGGTTAAATTCCATTTGCCCCCTGTAATTATTATAAATCTTTCAGAATTGACAATTAATAAAATCCAGGATGTTCACAGCCTCTGGGCTCGCTGCTTTGCCCTGGTCATGACAGCAGCAGCAACCAAGTGCAAGCAGGTGTAAACTTACACCTCCTCCCCTCGGCCACACCAGGTGACTTCCTCCCCCAAAGTTTCTCTGTCACTGCCCTGGAAAATCTCTTGCCAATAAGGAAGAAGAGGCAATGATAACTATTTCCTCCTCTGCCATGTTTTAGGCAGATATTCCACATGG